TTCCAAAACATGAGCTTATTACCACTGCCGCGCTTCCACGTCTGTCTGTGACCTTCGTGGATACAGTAATTGGTTAAAGCCCCAAGGCCATTAACGCCTCCGTGTCGTCGTAGCTGGGCTTCCCCACTAGGGGGCAGCACGTCACAAGCGATCCAGGGCCTTGGAAGTCAAAGGCGCTTGGGACAGCTTCAGCACGAGGGCGCGGAAGGAGCAAAAGGGTGCAGTAATGAAAATTAGTCGCAGATTTCCATTGTCCATGTAAAGCAAAGTCAGCCCCATCTTAAAGCATATCCTGGAGGGATATAGGAAAGAACACTTTTTAAAGCAAAAAAAAAAAAAAAACCAGCTGGGATGTGTGCTTTGAGGCTCCATCTCTTCTCTTCCTGCTGTGGAGACGTCTCCAGCTGGGACCCTACAGGCTGCTTGGTTTTGAAATGTGGAGAGATTTTGGAGCTGGTCGCCAAGCAGGTGTTAGTGCTCCTGTTTAGTGGAGAGCCTACTTGTTAATCTTCAAAATGTTCAGAAGGGAGGTCAGTTCCCACTCTTCTGTCTCTGGATATTTTTGGAGGGTGGCCTGGGCCATGAGAAAATGTCAGGCCACCTTATAAGGCCACGTCTGGCCCGGAGAATGCTCGTCTGCGGCACGTCCAGTACACTCTGTGGGTGTGAGTTAACTTGACTCTTGGACTGGGAGTTTTCTCACAGATTTAAAATACTTCTATTCATGCCATGGATTATTCTCACTCTTTAACAGGCGTAAACTCTTCTCAAGAGAGAGCTGTTTAAATGGCACCAATTTTGGATATACCAAATAGATGACCGAGGGCATATGTAATCCAATGGCCATCGAGTTGATTGCGCTGGGGCAGATACTAATAGTCTGCTGCAGGTGGTTTATCTTTTCAGCTAGTGTATGTCAAAGTGAGAGCCACAGAGTGTTAGTTCGGTGGAGGATGGGAGTGTGGGTATGTTAGGGAGGGGGATTCGGTGGTTTAAAAAGTTGAAACATGCTAATCTGTTGGTGACAGCTTTCCTCATCAGAGAATGTTGATCCATCCTGGGGGAAAAAAGAAAACAAGAGATGGACAGGGACTTAGACTGGGATCTGGGAAGATATTTCTGTTTTTTGTTTTTAATAATCCACCATCATCAGGTGATTACACATTAGAGTGAGAACCGCAGTGTCAGAAACCCTGGACGGAGTCTACCGTTTGCTACCCTGGTGCGTATAAAGGGCGTCTACTAGTGGATGTGAACGTGTCTGTCTGAGAAGATCGGACTGGGACCAGCAGCCCTTGTGCTGCCTCACAGGCTTAAAACCCCAAGATGAATCAGTCCAACTGCCACTCACCCTGAGCCCACCCCCCAGTTTTGGAGCACAGGCTTAAATATCATCTGTCAGAGCCCCTCACTCAGGCTTGTGTCCTTCTTGAGGCTCCTGGTGTAAGGAAATCATCTTCCACACTTCACCCTCATTCCTGGACATCACCGGTGATGGCTGCTTTATCCTGGTGTGCCCCGTTATCTGACAAGGCCTTAGAGTTCCTTTTGCTCTGGGTGGTGGGATCCCACGTCAATTCACTATGTAGATCCTTGGGAGCCAGACAAGCCATCACTCACTCTGCACAGAGGAGAGAAGAGTCCCCAAGAGGGCACGCGACTTGCCTGGGGCCACACAGTGAGATAGCTGGGACTAGCTCTCTGCTCCCCACACCCATCCATAGCTTTGCTGAGGCTCCCAGCTCTTCCTGTTACCCAATCTCCCCTGTCCATGACCCCTCAGCCTTCCCCATCAGCCCACTCCCACCAGACTCCACCATTCTCACCGTTATCATGAACCCCCATGCCCCTGCCCTCCCATTGCACCCTCTTGGCAAAACCCCAAGCTGGGATCAGTCCAGCTGCTACCCTTCCCTGTGCCTCACTCTTGGGACTGCCCACCTGGCACACTGTCTGTGATTCCCTTTAAACTCCATCCTCCTTGAAGCTCTGACTCACTCCCAGCCCAGGATAGACCCCCCCAGTTTCAGAGAAATCCACCATCAGCTAGCATTTCCTTCAACTCTCTGTCACCAGACCTATAGTCTTGCCTGTACTGGGTGCACCCTTTTCTTTTCCTCCTGTTAAAATGGAAGGGTGACCCTCTGTCCAAAGTTAATCCTTTCCTTATTCTCTGGATGTTTACACCACCTCCCCCCATTTAGGGCCCCCTCTCAAGCCATCCCATTATCTCTGTACTTCCTCTTTGCCATTTTTCCTATCAAGTACCTCCCCATCTTGGCTTTGACCCCAGCACTCCACCCTCTCTCCTCCTGTTCTCTGGGAGAGTAACTGCCAGCGCTCCCTACTTCTCACCTCCTACTCTTCCCGTCTCACCAGCCTGGCTCTTCCGATTATGCCAGTGACGCAGCTCAGTTCCAGGTCACTACTGACCTCCTTGTTATGAAATCTAGTGCGTGCTTTGCGATCCTTGTCTTACGGCTGAAACTGGGGTACTACCTGCCAGATGTTAGAAATAATGGTATGTTTTTGCAGTAGACTGGGATGCCCGGCAATACCCAGTTCTGGTCCAGAACTCTCATTTTCCCTCCGTGCACCTCTAGTGAAGGTGTTTGCAAAGAAATGATGGGGAACCAGTCAACAAAATACGTAATGGTTAACTGTGACTTGAGCCCCAGGGGAGCATTCTGGTAAACTCCTCGTAGACTGCTTGTGCCTCCTAACCTAGTAAGAAGTAGTCACCCAGGCTGAAGGGAACTGTGAGGCCTGCTCAGCTTTCCTCCCACCTATTCTTGTCCCTCCCAGCTCTTAGGTCATACCACTGGGATAGGGAGAAAGGCTGACCAAACATACCATCAGCCCCCGGGAAGAAATACTGAAAGATTAAGTGCGTGTGCCACCATGCTTGGCCCCATGCTGGCTTAGGCTGGGAAGGACAAGAAAGCATCCAAGGAGAAAGAGAGCAGATCCAGCTCTGCTTACCACTTAAGAGCCAGAAGAGAGACCTGCACCCTGTACACCAACCTCTTAGTGCCCATTGACTCCACTTACTCTCACTAGCAGATGGGACTCCATCAGAATCTTGAAACTGAGCATGAAGATTAGCATTCCTCTTCCTTAGGAAGGAGCCAAGACGCTGGGGAGTGAAGAGGGACCTTGGAATCCCTCCCAGGAGCCAGCATCGTTCTTAAAATGATCTTTGCTCTGGACCGCCTGCTCTGCTGGTTTCCTTCTGCCTCTTTGACCAAACTTGCTCGGTCTCCTCTGCCTTCCCCTGACTCAGAGGTTCTCAGTGCATCAAGGATCACCCAGGGAGCTTGACAAAATCAGATTCCTGGCTCCCTTGGACCTACTGAATCTGAATCATTGACAATAGAGCCTGGGGCTGCGGGGGTGGGGACGGGAGTGGAATTTCCACACAATTCCCCTGGGTGATTCTGGGGTAGGGGCTTATTTTGAAGAACACTGGGCTCCTGATCCCTCGGGTTCTACCCTAACTCCTCACTTCAAAC